TGTCGGTTTGGTCAATTTTTGTCGGCTGGACCTCCCATTTCGCAGGCCTAAAATTTGAAAACCCTGGAACAGAGGTGGAAGTGGAACATAGCATCTTTGTAGAGCAGACAATTCTCTTTCGAATGGTATACGACACGATGTAAAAGCATGGGGATTTAGATGAAAATTTTTGGATGAATAAAAGCGACACTATTTATGAGACAACCTAATAGTTGTAGCTCACAGAACTAATCACGAACTGCCTTCCGTTAAGATTTCGAATGTATGGAATAGTGAGTTTCTAAAAGTCTCTGGCTGAAATATTTTCTTGTTTCAGGGAATGGATTCTATATGGCTCACTAGCTTCATCATACATTTTGTCTCTCGAACACATTTCGCGTGTTTTCGCTCGAACTTCTTTTTAGTTTTCTTGTGTAGAGAAAAACTCCGAACCAGCTCGTCACTTATTCTATTCTTATTCTCAACTTTGCTATCTGCGACCTTGTTGCGTGCACTGCTGCCTTATTCGTTCACCCAAGGTAAGGCTCAAGCAATATTTTCAAGCTCATTTTTCAGCTCATTTTAGAATGAATTAGCAATTTTGCATGACGCGTCTGGACGTGCTTGAGTTCATTTGAAAACGGTGAGCCATGTGAGCCAATGATAAGCGCTGTGAATGAATTCACTTCCCGTTGTGGCATTTTTTTTTTTAGGCTGTCTTAAATGTTCAAATGGAAGTGATGTGGCTGCATCCCAAAATGGGATTGATCAACGGCAAATGCTTTATCCTTTATCCTTAGGCTGTCTTACGCTCATCTATCAGGGCTGATTTTTAAAGGAATCTTCCACGGAAAAAGCTCCGCCCTCATTACCACAGAAAACGATACCTTAAAGGAATCTTCCACGGAAAGAGTGATCATTTTGTCTTGTGTGTAGGATTAGTATTATCGAAACTAACGCTTATGTTCCGTTCTTTTTGCTATGCTCATGAGGCTAGGGGCCTAAGGTATCGTTTTTCTGTGGTAATGGAGGCGGAGCTTTTTCCGTGGAAGATTCCTTTAAGCGCGATGGGGGCGGTATCGTTCTCATAGATCTAACTCGACCACTGATTAGTGGGACGCCTAGGGCAGCTTACAAGGGAGTTCTTTACGGTGTGGAGAGCTCTTCCAGAAGGGTTTTTGCATTTTATAGGAACTAATGCGTGGACCACAAAACTGGGGTGGTTTTTGCTGAGTGGTCCCGCGGAGGCCTGAAAGTGGTGAAGAAGTGGTTCAAGGTTCGAGTTACTTGTGATGACAAAACTTTCATATTTGGTCGGAGCTTCCGAATTCCCTTGAGGTGTCAGCATTTCACTACCATTCATTACCTGGACCGGGACCAGCATCAAGCGTGCGTTGAGGAATCCTCGACAGGTCGGCAGGGGGGGGTCGTATTTGGCCCGCTGGAAGGAAGGATCGGGCTGGATCGATGCAGTAGGATCATCACTGTCGGAGGACTCCATAAAACACAAACATCAAGGAGTGATCGATGCTGTGCAAGCTTGGCCATAGGATTTTCCAATAACAATGTAATTCCGCTCACATAAAATTTTCGTGGTTCAAAAGAGTCCGCGTAGTAACTCCACGCTACGACAAGGTTATAGAATCCTAAATTCGCACGTTTTTCGACGGATATTTTATCTTTCAAATGAGTCCTCAAATCTGAAGGGATGTGAAGCACACGGCGCATCCCAGAGTGGGCCCAGTTGTTGCGCGCGCTTCAGCTACGGCTCTCTGAGAAAAATCTCAATTCAGGAAAAAACCAAGAGGATTCTGAAAGGGTCCGTGTGAAATTACGGGGAGTCCACTATTCAACAAGAAATGCAGTCTTCAGCGTCAAATTCATAAGCATGTAATCGTTAAAGTTGAGATACGCTAAACAATTTTACACTTTTGGAAAGAGAAAAGCACGTGGATTCCGAATCTGCTCCCACTTTAGTACATAATCGCCCTTGAAAGGAGCTATAGTCGTTGAAATAGTGCCAATGCAGCGAAAAAGTACCTTTCGGCGGTACTCGGGCAAAAATCCTCAACGTGGCCATTTTTTAAATACTGAACGTATTTAGCAGTTCTAGTAAGCCTTTGATAGAGCAAATCTTCTAGTTTATGATGACGTATTAACTTTTCAGATTGGATGAGTTTGAACGGAGCTTTAGAAAGTGTAAAAACTCGCACTCATCACAAATTTTCCTCGTTAATTTTGCAAAAATCCTCAACGTGGCCATTTTTAGAAACCAAACGAGTCAAGTCCTCAAACAGCTATTGAATAGAGCAATTATTCTAGCTTTGTTTGCCATATTAACTTCTAAAATTCCATTTTTGAAATTCGTTGACTTTGAAGAATGTTATAATCATAAAACTACAGTCCATATCTCGAAGTCTGATTGGGCGTGTCACCGGAAATGACGTGGCAGCCACCGCACTTGATAGAAGTTGCGCGGATAAGCTGCTTCCAACACGCTTTGCTGATATCTGGCGGAGTATTTTATCCACACACATCTATCAAGTGCGGTGGCTGCCACGTCATTTCCGGTGACACGCCCAATCAGACTTCGAGATATCAACTGTATGTAGGCAAATTTCAGTAGCAGATAAGCTGCTCCACGGCCAACGCAAAAGATCCAATCAACACACAGCTGGCTAAGGCGGTTACAAGGCTTCCTTCAACCGAAAGGGGGACGTGTAAATTGAGAACCATACTCTGTGTAGTACTTGGTAAGCCTTCAAAGGAAATAAAGGAAGAAGAGATGCTGTCATAGTATGCTATTTTTATGAGTAGTTCGTCGTTTCTTACTCATTCCCTGGTAGGTTTCATTGCTAATGCGTTTTTTTTGACTTTTCCTACTTGATGAATCTTTTCGGTGGAAGGTGGGGTAGCAGCGTTTCTTGCTGGAGTTTCGCAGAGCACTAAGCAACTTTTCTATGGTTTGACTTGTGTGGAGCTGAGGAGGGTTGTTTCATGGACTGCGCCTGCTGGGTGGATGAAGAGGTCTAGGGGGCCGTATTTAACACGTTGACGACCGCGCCATTTTTCGCTGTCTGGCGTGTGGGACCGCGCGCATTATTTTGACCGCGCGAGTGTGACATGACATCATGTCACACGGTCCCACGTGGCCGAAAGAGTGTGGTATGACATCATACCACACGGTCGTCAACGTGTTAAAAATTTCCTGGACGCCCCGGTACCCTGACCGGGACTCTTCGCTGAAATCGCAAAATATGACTCGAGCCAAGCAAACTTTTCGGGTCTTTTTTAATCTTCAGTTGGCTTCTCAGAAAATATACCTTATATTTGTAATCCTTTCAGCGTACGAAAGAAAGCCGTTCTGGAAAAACATTTCACACTCGAAAGACCTCCCCTGTTAGTTTCAATCACACATCCCTCGTTATGAGCTCGTTAGCACTGCCCATAAATTCTATCCCAAGTTTTCTTGTAACTGGACAGCATAATTTCACACGTATTTAGAATAATAGCTGTTGGTCTTGATCTATACATGTTCTTTCATGGACCGTGCAAGTTTTTTGGAGCATCAATCTGTCATATTGGGTGTGTTTACAAGAGCACCTCAGTCTCTTCTTCATCGTTATTTCCAATATTGTGGTGACATGGATTTTTACCTGCTAACGTCTATGGGTTAAGGTACGCTCTGATGTTCCATTGTATCGCTCATTCTCTATCGAGTTTACTGCTTTCGTTCGCATATCGTTACTACGTCTTGCGGAGCACTCAACCAACGACACGAACCACCACAGCGATGGTCGTTCTGGTATACTTGCCATCCTTCATTGTTCTAGTGAGTTTCACGGGAACTGCTCTCTTCTATTCTCTACATGAAAGTGCTATGTGCGTCACATAACCTTGGAGAATGCGATACATTTCAGCACCGGGCCAGCTTTGTGTTTGTCACACTTGCAACAGTCACACTGAAACATATTCATGTTCAAATCCTTTGACTTATCAATTACTTCTTTCATACTGCTTGAAGCGTACACCACAGAAAACGTCCCAGTCATGGTGAGAATGAGGAATGGAATAATAACGAAAATAAATCCATAGGCAATACGACTGGAATCAACTTGGATACCCACTAGAACATTTTGAGCACAAACTAAAGAGGTCTTATAGAAGAAGCCAGATATCGATTGAAGAGCAACCCTTGGAAGGTTCCACGGCTCATTCCGATGGAAATACCAACGGTGTTACAAAGTTGGGGGGGTACTACGCGGCGGTTTGATGGTCTGCGCCTCCAAGGCTTAGTCTGCACTGCCACTGTATTTCGTAACTGCTTCGCGGCGATGGTGGCAGCGGCCCCCAAATGCTAAGCCTTGGACAGAGCTGACGAACGGGCGCCGAGTGGCTCCCCCTCATTTACGTTAACGCCACACGGCAAATACTAAGAAAAGAAAAAGGAGATATGGGCGAAAACCTCAAAGGGCATGCCGTCGTCGAAGTGGTCCGTTTCTTTTTTCGAGCGAACTTCCCTTTTTCTTGCTTTTGTCTGCATTGTCCAAAATAGCGTCCTGAGCTTACAATGAAGTCGCACACTCCAATTTTACCGTGCTGAGAGGGTTGGTCATTGTTCACATATTCGAAACTTCTTAGTGTCCGAATATGTAGAGATACTTCGTAGTGTCCACGGGGAGCAGCTTCTATTCTTCACCAAAGGTCTTACTGGAAACTCATTTCGAAGATTTCGAGAATGGCAGCAGCTGAAAACTCTGTGGTTGAAAGTGTTCAGAAGAGAAAGGAAGAGTGGTTTTTCGGCGCCAATTGACATAAGCCTGGAGCGTGCGCGCAAGGGGGAAAAACTGCCCTGCCCACAGCTTCACTCACGCTGAAATGGACTTTTCCAATTCGTGTTCACTGTATGAACTCTAAGAAAACTTTAAAGAGGTTCTGATAATCACTAAGCACGTAGCACACATACATCACCATAATAAGAAAACAGGAATATTAGTATTAATGATGTAATATGCATTCAGGTGCTATTCTGCCTAGCCAGCGACGATGTGGAGGAGGTTAAACGAGAAATTGAAAAGAATACTGGATATGACACGAGTTCCGAATGCGTTAGCGGTCACATTAATGTTCTGAAGTGGAAGAGTTTAGCTGCAGTAATTTACATAACTTTGCCAGCTACCCCAATCTATATCGCCATTCTTATTCTCAGAAAACTAACCATTTCGAGGTTACACTCTATGACGAGCATGTCCGTGCAAACACGTCTGCTCCACTCACAGTTGCTCAAGGTGAATTTTTTATTTTTTTTTGTGGAGGTGTAGCGAACCGTGCACACACATCTGCACATCGTCATGGCCAAACGCAGAGGTGCTTGGAAGTGCTGGTCGTGATCTATTAGAAACAGCGCTCCATTGCCCGCCCTAACAGCGTGGAGCAGAAGTAGGAATTCATTCAGAATCCAACCGAGAGCCTTCGTCCTGGTCGTGGGTGTCTGGTATGCCGAGGAAAGAAAGAGATGATGGTGAGATATGCCCAGCCCTGAATAGCCGACTGTTAGACAAAATCTCTCAGGAAAAGGCCTAAACTTGAGCTGAGATGGCCAAAAGCGAATGGGTAATGTGGTGATCTGTACTGTCAACGCATGGCCCTTACATTCGAAGTTCACATCAAAGCACCGGTGCAGACATGGACCATTTTGCACAACTTTGGGGTCTGTTGTCAAAAGGGGAAATGGCCTTGCAGCTGCTCGTGTTGCAGGTACCGGAAGGAACCATGTCCAATCCTTTCACGCATGCTCGAACTTTCAGGTAGCGAAATCAACCCGGCGAGTATGTTGGATTAAGGAACGACATGGTGCTTTAGTTGCTTAGACGATTCAAAAAAAAGACATCGGCAGACAAGCTATCATATCTGCCTAGGCTTCTAAGCCAACAAAACGGAAGCAGCCAATAGAACGAAAAGAGGCAAAAAGTACGAATAAATATAACCGCTTCTGAAAACCAGATGCGCCACGAGTGCAGGCTGCACACACCATCTGACGAGCCAACAAGTAAATCTGGGGCCGTATCCTATCCTTCGCTCAAGGGACGCGTCCCTCACCTCTGATCCTATGCTATGCTTTAGGGAGACAGGGTCACATCATAAACCATGCATACTTTGCTTTTTTGAAGTCCAAGCAGCGCGATTCCTCAGAGAAATGAGTACCGCAATAGGGAAGGGTAGCTGCAACATCGCAATGGCGGGCCCGGGCATAGGAGAGAATCAGTGGCGGGGGACTCGTCCCCGAAGGAAGGGTAGTATACAGCCCCTGGATTCGTAGTCATAACTGATAGCTAGCCAATGATAGCCGGATTAGTGACAACTGGTAGAATACAGATACAACCGGCTAATTATTTCAATGGCAGAGAACATGTAGTACATTTTGCGGGGGTCGTCCCTTGTGGCGTGTAGTCTGCGCTCGGCCCGCATCCGGTTTTTTGGAAGTAGAGAGTACATAGAAATAGCGGCCTTGCGACTGCGATTGACTAACGCTAGGGAGAAGAAGACGAGAGTACATAGAAATGGAGCTCTCGCTAATCAATAAGAATGATCTGCAGTTTCTGACACGTTCTGCTTTGTTAATTTCTCCTCCTCCTCGATAAGGTTTAGCTGGTTTTACAACTATTGTAATTATAATTGTAATTATAACTGTAAATTGTACTGTCTTGTTAGCTGTTTGAAAGCTTTGTTAACTTTCACATGTTTTCTTTCTTTATCAGCGAATGTGCCTGCGTCACTGTCTGCGACAAAAGATCTCAACATAGGGACTGACCAAAGAAAGAGGACGCACCCATCACACACCGTTTTCGACAATAATGGAGAACTGTTCCTAAGAACATGTCATAGCGAAGGCATTGGTTTTTAGGTACTTGATCAACACGCAGAAGGTTATAAATATCCACTCGTATGAAAGCAGACAACCTGAGCAGCTTTTGTTTTATTGGAATGATATGGCTTATCTCCAATTCTGACAATATGCTTTTCAACGACAGCCAACATAGTCACGTAGAGGGACATTATGAGAGAGCTCTCAGAAGCTCTAGCTTATGGCCAAGTTATTGATTCATACACGTGGTCAATAGATGGGTGTTTTGGCCATGCCTCATTCATTAACGTCCCTAATCCTACTATATATAATCGGCTAAGCGGTTGTGCGTGTGTGTGTCTGTGTGTGTGTATGTGTTTGTCTGTCTGACCGGAAATTCATAGCTCGGGCACCAGTGGTCGTCAGGAGTTGGTTTCAAGATATGATATAGGGGGTGGGACGGGAACATATTTGGTGGGGTACAGAAAGTGATACAACTGATAAGGGCTGATAAAAGGCGCTAGAACGCAAGTGTCGCGAAATTCATAGCTCGGGCACCAGTGGTCGTCAGGAGTTGGTTTCAAGATATGATATAGGGGGTGGGACGGGAACATATTTGGTGGGGTACAGAAAGTGATACAACTGATAAGGGCTGATAAAAGGCGCTAGAACGCAAGTGTCGCGAAATTCATAGTGCGCTTCGCAGCAGTCGTCAGGAGCTGATTTTGGGGCATGATATAGGGGGTGGGACGGGAACACGCCGCAACATATTCAATATTGGTGGGGTCACGAAGTGATAACGACTGATGACGACTGATATAACGACATGCGTACGAACGTAGAGAGCACTTGAAATAGAGAATAGAGAGCAGATTGTAGATAATGCCTTTCATTTCAATATCATTTCATCAGCGTTGTAATTGTAAACTCAAGCACCTTTCGACCGCTACACCTTCTAGAGTTCTTGAGGATGAATGGGATGCTCGAATAAATATGATAATGAATACTAGGCATTCCGTTTTGAGATATTCGACCGCTAAATTACCTCGATACTCGACGCATAGTGGTTGTTTACATCATCACTTTAGCTGTGCACTTCACTGCGCTTATCAAACAGTGAGATACAGCCAGCCTATGCAACGGACAGTAATACATTTAACGAAGCAGCTATAATTTAGCGGTGAAACCTAAAGCTTCATCGATTGTCAGTTCTATCAATGCGCGCGGTAGCGGGCGGAGCTAAACTGGTAAATGTATAACCCGATTATGTTTGGTGTTGATAGGCTGTCGTCTGATAGCTTCGAAGGGAGTGATGGTGATAAATCTCATAGGGACGATTGGCATTTCACATAATAGATTGGATAGGAGGTCTACCCAACAAGCCGATAAATGATGTTTCAGAGGCAATGACGCCTTATCAATGGTGTGATAAGCGCCCACCTACTCCGAAACCCAGCACCACCTACATATGTGGACGTGATGAGGATGCATAGCAAGGTTGATACCGCTATGTAAGGTTAGTGGCGCATCGAAACCTTTCTGCTATCAGCAAAAAATATATCCGCACTGATGTGGAAGATTTACGTGGGCGTACTTTAAACATGCCTTCGCGGTATCATCCCGATTTTCCTTTGAGAAGCATCTCCTTAAACAGCACGTATCTTTCTTATACATGTCGCATTTCTTATGGCAATACGCTCGTCCAACAATTATCTATCTCGCACCTTATCTGTTGATAAGGAGAGAGTAGCAGATCTGCGTGGAAGACAGCATGATCGCTTTTTTTAAGGGGGTCTGCGAAATGCCAGTGACCCTCCGTCCGGCTTCCCCTCGTCGAACGGCGTGACATCCCCTCCGGAGTGGGATGGAGCGCGCCGACTTGCTGACGGCTTGCTTAAAGCGACCATTCCACATTGAGGACGTGTCGAATAGAGATGCCCATGAGTACCACAGCTGCACCGTTACCGCGACTCGAAATTTGAGGTAGGGCCTCATAAGGTGAAGTTATGGCTGTAAGGTGAGCTTACGGCCAAGATACCTCGTGCACATACCATTGTGTGGATTACTGCGTAGCGGCAAATCGAAATACGCACAGGATAGCAGAGCCCTGCCCTGATGCAAAAACAGTCGCGAGCCTCTGCAAGCACAACATCGATTATTAGAGGTGGGAGAAGATCGGGTCTCTAAAATCGACCACGAGAGTGCAGGAACTGACTCATGCACACTGAGTGTGCAGAAGTCAGTTTCTGCAGTATTGGCCTAGAATGTTATAAAATTCTCATCATTGACTTCAGGAAGAGATTGATGGTTATCAATTGTTTCATGTGAATGGATCTGGCAAATGTTTGAATTTTTTAAGGCTCTCGTCATCCAGGCTTGTCTGCCCATCGTATTCGTGGTTGCCGTTATATTCTACTTAACTGGTCAACTGAACATCTACCATCATCCATTTTTCGAATACAACATCGCTACTATATTCGGACTGCTTCCAGTACTTAGTCCCCTTACGTCGCTTTACACCATTCGTCCGTATCGCCAATGGATAGACACTACATTTCTACACTCGACTAAGGTCTCATCTTTGCAGAGGTGCAACAATGTTGAGACTGTATGCCGTTCAGAAGTGACAGGATCCTTGAATAGACCTGCGTCGCGGTGCAGTCAATAAATGCTGTCTTTTTGCAAGTTATTCATTGGTATTCACTCTCTTAACACGTTGACGACAGGCTCATGCGCATGCGCGTCAGACATTTGAAGTCGCTCTGGACATTCTGAGCGCATGCGCGCCACCGTTTTGCTATCAAGTTTGTCCGCACATACCTGCGACTTCTTCTTTTTGTGCTCATTCTGTAGGTCATGCATTAGCATACACAAAAACCACGTGGCTTACAGAATGGCCAAATATTCTTCTGTTTGGCAGAGGTTTTCGAGGTTTTGCGAAGGTGTCTGTTCAGTCTATTTCCCGTTATTTTTTCACTAACGCAAACATGTAGATAAAAAGAATAGTATTTCTACTGAAACAACTATGTCCAAATTAATTTTGAAAACACCAAAGCGGAAAGAGAGTTAAATTTGCCTTTTCATGACCACAACACGTCATTTCAGTCGAACGTCCATGACTATTTCTCCCGATAAGCATTGCGTATTTGCAACTCAAAAAGCACGGATTTGATGTGAGACGGCGGCGCTCGCAAAATCGCTCTGGTCCCACGCGGCCAAAAGAAGCCAAAACGCGCGATGTCGTCAACGTGTTAAAAACACGGGTCGCGATCAATTTGGTGTGATGTTTTGTAATAAAATAAGATAAGAAAGAGAAGAGGAATGCTCGTGAACAAAAAAAAAACGCTGTAGAAAACGCTGATGTTTTTCTTGTTAAGTCGACCGTTGCACGATACCGTAGATATAGAGACATAGCGCCACGGGAGAGGGAGCGCGAGAGCACGTTGTGCGCAAGAGGGCGCGGACGCCAAGTGTGTTTGCATGATAAGCACTGAAGCGGCCAAGCGGAAGCATTGTCTTCCTTGTCACTTATTTTCGAGTAGTGACATTTTCACCACTTCTGTGATTAGCGGTCTGCAGTCACCTCGTTCAGATAGAGGATTCCTTCAACACGTTGACGACCGTGTGGTATGATGTCATACCACACTCTTTCGGCCACGTGGGACCGTGTGACATGATGTCATGTCACAGTCTTTTTTAAGCTGGTTTTCAAACATTTTAGGTAACTTATTTACGTGATGTATGCGCCATACTTAGGCATTGTTACAAAAGGCGTGGTCCCTGGAAAGAAGCTTCGGTTAATGGGCTATCGAGTTTTTCAAAAAATGTTTGAATAATGATCAGTAGGCCCACTTTTTGTGCTTAGGCTGAAATTGATTGGTACAAAAAAATGTTTTTTAGGAAATCAGTGATGAGGACTCATTCAAAATACTTTATTGGTAAGCTTTCGCTGTGCTAACAGCTTCTTCAGCCCTAAACATACAAATCAAGCATACAAATCAATACAATCAAGCATATAATCAGGTACAAAAAATGTTTGCAATAACAATTTGCTACAGTGAGTGAGGACACTTTGGTAGGAGACGGGCATATGCGCATCCTTCGATCCTGCATAATTGTAGTTCTTGTCTGTGAACGTTTTCCTTTGCCTCCGTTCCTCCTTTCCACGAACCTTCGAGTCTATGAGTGGTTTTCGACATGTAGGTCCGATTGTAATCCAACGATCATATTATAAGCTCGAGATAAGGGGACCAGGAAGTGATCCTAGGAGGGTAACTCTTGAATCGCACGGCTTTGGCTCTTTCTGCGCCCTCCCAAATCGGAATAGCTGAAATGGCCAAAATCGCAAAATCCGAGACCTACCACACAAGAAAGATAACAAATAAACAGTTCCTGAAAAAAGGAGTTCTGGTCCGTGTGACATGATGTCATGTCACACTCGCGCGGTCAAAATAATGCGCGCGGTCCCACACGCCAGACAGCGAAAGCGGGCGCGGTTGTCAACATGTTAAGCTTTGATCGTGACCTGTGCCTTTCAGTTGTCGTTGAGAATGTATTTTGCGGGATTGGCGACCACTTTGGATTTTGAGCTGGGACCTGTTCTGAAAGGGGAAAAAGCCTTACTTTTATAAAAAAAGAACTTCTTCTTGGGCCAAGGGGTACTCAGGAGCTCCTTCCCTTTCCGTAATTTTCTCCCTGCACAGTTGCTTTCTCGTACCATCCAACGTCAGAAGCCGTACACCATGTGGAATATTTGAAGACATGACGTACAGATGAAGCTCTTAGTAATTCGTAACTTCACCGGTTTTCCTGCAAAGTTGTGAAAGAGAGAAAGAGAAATCAGAGAAGTTCACGTGAAATATATGCAACTCTCCCACCTCAGTGCATAAGCTCAACTCTTCACCTATTAGGTTGTTGCATTATATATGTCGCACAGATTTAGCTTCACCCCACTCGGCTGTGTCCGAACATCCAGAGGTACTTAAGCATTCATTCGAAAGAGGAAATCTAGGAGTATAAAAGCGACTACTCGTTGCCCATATCATTTTGTTTTTTTTTACATAAATTTTTCTTTTGAACGATGACTGGTCGGAATTTCTGTGTGTACGTGAATCTTGTACGACATCTTGAGGTGATGAGCTCAGCTCGCACGGTCTTTGTAAATAAGATCAACATCAAATCGTGCATTGGCTCAGCGAAGAAGAAAAACATTGATTCTATAAAGTAACTTCACGACGAAAAGCTGTATTTGAAGAAAAAAATCACCAGCAAAAAAGTGCGAGACCAGGCTGAAACATTTGCCGCCAAACAGCTCTGGTCACACTCCATCTATGTGCTGCGCATCCGAGTCAACGCGGCACGTTTTGAAGGAGAAACAGTTCAGAGAGTACAAAAATTCGGAATCTGGGTGTCCATGTTTACCTGCGCACAGTTGCTACGATTCTTCGAGAAGGACGTCGAGTCTCTGCGTGAGGAATGGCGAAGCCTGGCACAATAAGGTAGTATCCATCTCTTCATCTGAGATGCCGAATTGTTGCTGTTCCAACAAATTTTGTGGTACGTCCAATAAGCGAAATTTAAAGTGCAACAACCTAATATTACTCTTCCTGGCAATAAAAATAAAACAAGAATGAAAAGAATTACGAGAATTGGTAGGGCTTTAGGACATTTTCGCAGAATATATGGCCGTTTGTGGACCACATCTTTCATTATAGTAAATATGCTGATATATGACCTGCAGGACGAAAAAAAAACTTGTGGAAATTCCTCGCGTATGGGGCGAAAAAGGGAATGAGACGAGAGTGGACGCGAGGTGCATTTATGCCGCCCCGTCCAACAGTCTACAAAGCGCGGAATGTATGTGTTCTGTGAGGACGTCAATGTACTGAAGCGGTAAGTGATTCACCACGTGCACAATCATTTCGATTTCACACATGTTTGTGATGAAAGTGCCGTACGACATGTATTAGATACCGGATTTCCTAGTGTCGTTTTTTCAC